GCAGCTCTGTGGGTCAGACACCTATCTCATTTCTGGACTGATTTTCTATTGCTTTTCATCTGGCATACAGTCATTTTCAACAGGACAATGTTTACAAAATGCTAGCAAATTAGAATCTTCTATGAAACTATAGTTTTGGTAGTATTTTACAGCTACTTTCACTAAGTTAAAATGATTCTATAAAGCGCTAATAGAAAGTGAAACGCTCCATGTTTTTCTTGAAAAGAAAGCTTTATGCATGACCTGTGAAATCTAATTAGCATATCTCTATTTTAGTCATTAAACCTTATCACTTCCAAATCACTAAATAAAAAGCAGAATCCTACAAAATTCAAGTTAAAAAAAAGTTAAATATCAGCAGAGTACTTTTTTTTTTTTTTTTTTTTAATCTGATATTTTCATCTATGAAAGGCACTAAATCACATTGTATCAAAAGATATCAGAAGGCTCATCTAGATGTTTGTGTGTGTGTGCTTGAGAGTGGGGAGAGAGATGAAGCTGATCCAGAATTGGGAAGAAGAATAGAACCATATGAAACAGAGACCACAAGGAAGGTTGGATAAAGGCCCTTGAAAGTCGTTACTTTTTAAAATGAATGACCACTCAATTCAATATAAGAAAAGCTGTATTACAGTCAAGATCCCTTTTGTACATGAAAATATTAGCAGAAAGTATGCATTACAAGGTGGATCACTGAGCTGCTGAATTGGTTGCTGAGATGGAAATGAGTGTGGGACCCAACTCTTCACTCCCTTGACAATGAACCTATTCATCCACAAACCTAAGTCATCACAGCAGTCTTTGGATTGCTCCAGTTCTTTGACCTTTGGTGTTAGTATTAGGAAGTAGATGGGTGATGACTCAGCATCTGCTGCCTTTGCTACTGTTAGAGTGTTTGAAGGATGATATTCTGAAATCAATATGACAAAATTTTGATTATCACTTTTCTTAATTGATAAACACTTCAGAATCCTTTCAATACTCCATTTAGCAGAAAAAGTCTGTATCAAGTCAACTTGTATATCATGAGTTGTATATTGTGGCACAGAAAGACATTAATTCATACTATGAGCTTTCAAACCATCCTTTCCTGCTGTAGAGAGATGTCTCATCATTCCTGAAATACTTGGCATTAAATATAATATGTTTTGCCGGATAATTACTAGTCATCTTTGTTATATAACCCTAGTCTCTTGCCATTTATCACACCACCCTTTTTTGTAAGCTCACAGCAGCCTATCATCTTCCCAAACATACTTACCACTGCAGAATTTCATAGCAATCTCCCAGACAGTTCTTTCTAGGAAGAGTGCTGGACACACTCTCAATTATTCCTTTATTTGATGACTAAATGAACCGGTTTCCCTAATGAACCAAATCAGGTAGGCTGACCACTGTACTTGAAGATACTGGTCCTGAGTTTTGGGCTGGCTCTTCGCTCCTGTAAGTCATCTCATCCCTTTCCATCAGAGAAGAAACCTAAACTTCTTCTCTCTGGCCGCAGCAGCAACAGGCAGTAAATGTACCTTTGTGTATCTCTAACAAAGACCTAGAGTGCTGTTAGAGTGAATGTGGGAAATGTGGGAGGGGAACATGAAGAGGGAGGCAGGGCTTGAAGACATATCTAGAGGGCGTGCCTGTTGCCAGTGAAGGTACAAGGAAAGTGAGGGGAGTGTCCTTGCTGTGAAGACAGTGACGAAAGGCTGGATTCAATACTTGCAGGCTGCTAGTTGGATTATGATGCATTAACTCATACGGTGGATGCTAGGGACTAGTTTTCTCTGTAAGGACTCGGGAGGGATCAGGCAAATTAGAGCATGATGTAGGGCTTTTCTCGAGAGAAAATGGGGAAAAAGCACCATATTTATACTTTTCTGACTACCTTAATTTTAGACCAGTGTCTTGTGCAGCAAGTCTTTAAGGAATAGTAATGCTATTGTTCTGCTGAAGTTGATGCTTCAAGTAGCTCATGCTACTAAACAATGAGGAGTTATACAACTCAATAGTTTTTCTTCAGTTGAATTTGTTTGTGTATATTTGCATACTTAAGGGTGTACAACCAGCAGTATTACCACAGTGACAATAAAAACAGTTGATAAAAGCCTATAAAATCATTCATTTTTGGCCTACTAAGAATACCTCACTTTGTAACCTGGCAGGCAACAGCAGCAGTGGCAGCAGCATCAGTTGCATCGAGAGATTTCAGTGGTGTAGGGGGATTAGGAGAACTCTTGGAAAGTTCTTCAGAAGCATCAAAGTTGAGCTCAAAGAGTGCTAAAGAAAGAAGAAACAGAAGGAAGAAAAGAAGACAGAAAGAAATGTCTGAAGCAGAGGACAAAGGAGATATCGATAAGTTCCCCAAGTCCGAGTCAGAAGACAGTATCAGAAGGAAAAGTTTCCGCTTCTCCACAGAAGGAAGTCAACTGACATATGAAAAAAGGTTCACATCTCCCCACCAGGTACAGCACTCTTTTTTATTACATCGTGTGTCTACTCTAATTTGGTTTTGACTGACATTATAGCGGCTTTATGTATTGGAAGTTATGTACAAGGTGAGTGAAGGAAAAAACCAGTGGTAGTACCGTTAACAGTGTTAGTTTGATATGGTTTGACCCATTCTATTAGCAAAGGGATAAAAAGAACATACCAAGGATAATTGTAAACTTAATTAAAACATTTCTGAAAATGTATTTCTGAAGATGTGTCTGGTAGATTGGAGAAAGAATCAAAGACTCTTTGATTAGTACTCATATATTTGCATTAATCAACCATAGATTCTCTGTACTGCATCCATTTCAGAACTATACAAATAAGTGGGGTTTTTTTAGCAGACCACATCATCAAAATACCCTGCACAGGAAATTCCACACTACCATTAGTTTCTATTGTTTTCCTTAATTAGCTTCTTTAAATGGTAGATAATGAGAAAAGTAGCTCTAGTACTCCACAATAAAGATAAACTATATAGGGATCATTTTGGCTTATATTTACAAGAATTTAGTCATACTGTTCTTTTTCTTTAGAAATTCATTATACAAGATGGAGAATCATTGCAATCATAGAAAACAAATAGTTCAGGAAGGAAGGCTGGAAATCATTTAGTCCAAACTTCAAAGCTCTACTCCCTTAAATCAAAGGGTCTCTTTTGTTGCTTAAGGATACCTTTGCTTATTTCAAGTCTACACACAGTTACGGTATTTGTAGAAAAATCACTCAAAATGCATCTTTTCAAAATGATCATGTCTGGTCTCAGCCAATAGATGACATTTACCTACTAATACTACGCACGTTTAACTACCAATGTTTATTCTATTTAATGTTCATATCAAGTGTGTTAGTTTACAGACTCATACGAAATATGAGAGTCAATGGCAGAAATACTTCACACTGAAATATATGTACTGAGGGGAGGAAAGCTTAATTTGAGACAAAGCCTCAGTAATTAATCAAGTATAAGGGATGATGCCTGTTCTGAAAAAGACACATTTGCATTTCTAAGTAAGTGAAGTAATTTTTATTATAATTAAGAAGAATGACCAGGTTGTTCTCTGGATAAGAAATAAATAAAATGTAAGAAAAACAAATTATTAAATCTATCTCAACTCCTTTGAGTAATATTGGAAATGTGTATTTCCAATCTGATAAAATGTACGAGTAGTTTTGGCCAAAGCTGCTCCAAAAAATCTTTCATTAATTGGAATGGTCTTTGAGTCAGGCTGATACAAAGGACCTGCAGCCAGAGATCTCAGCTTAGACCACACAGTCCTGCTTCACTTAGATGTGTATGTAAGTGTCCATACCTCATAGATGAGGGTGGTGAGTGACTTGGCCGCACTAAAGAAGAGTCACTGACAAAGTCTTAGCAGAAAGGAATTTCTGCTTGTGCTTTAACTACTTGGTAATAGGCCTCTCCGTTGTCTAGTCTAAATTCTCTGATGCTCTTTTATATACTTCTGGTGAAGAGACTGATTAATGGATATATTATGTTTATATTAAACACATCTTTTGGTGCACAGAAAAAATACTTAATACAGAAGTATGTATACTAAGGGGACAAGAATTTGAGACAAAGAGATTCCATAGATAACAAACTTTCTGTAGCTTTATTAACATACAGTAAAACATACAGTTGCATCTATTTGTTCATACTCTGAAATTCTCAGAAAGCTTTCATCCTGTCAATTGTCATGAAGAACTGTGAAACTTCCACAGAAACTTAAGAAGCTTAGGAAAGCAAGGCATTTCAAATGACTTTTGGTAACATTAAAATTAAATGTGAATTCATGTTGCAGAATAAATAATTAAAATTCATTAAAATCAAGTGAAAATAAATATTGTATATGTCTTAGATTTGAAAGAAAAGAAGGGAATGGTGCAATAGACAGGAAACAGCTCATCTTGAGACATCATGAATTATACAGCAGGAAGGAAATGAAATAATTTAAAAAAAAAAATAATTTAAAATTTTAAAATAAAAGAGACTTGTATCAAGCAAATAATCTAATTGAGGATAATTTATTAATTAAAGACTGTCTTGGTAATTGTTTTTGCAGTTGTAAAAATGCTTTGGGGCAAAAGTTGCCTGCATATAACTGAAATAAAACTGAGCTGCCACAAGAGTGGAAGGATTGCGGGCAGGGTAAAGGAAGAGCTGGTTTGTCTTGTTAGCCACACAGTTAGCTCCCTGGTGAAACAGGGTGGCAGAGCGTGAAACAGGGTGGCAGGGCATGAAATGGTAGAATGGTAAGGGGAGATAATCTGCCCAGTTGGCCCCTATAAAGGTTTTGTCCTTTGACACAATATTCCATGTGCAAACGAATGATGCAGCCTGCCAGAAAAGCCAAGCTTTCCTTTCAGACCTTACTTTCCAGGAGCATGTAGACACATATATTTCTGCCTCTACATGTGTTAGAATTGCAGCCATTTTGGCTTGTATCTTTTGTCTCAATCCAGCAGGGACTTGCAGAGCAGGCATTACTCCTCCCAAATCCCTCAGGGGCCTGATCCATTTAGCTGTGCTCAGAGCATGATAACACATATTGGAAAGATTGGACTACAAACAAAACATAGCAGCCATGGAAACATTCTGTAAAAACACAAGGGTAGCAGTGGTAGTCAGACGAAACCTAATGAGCGTGTGATTTTTTTGAAGGACTGTAGGTTGGCCAAATATGTTTACAAAGAAATGTACAAAGGATGCAGTAATTAGTTTAGCACTTTGTCAGAATTCAGTGTCATGCTCTATAGCAGCTAGAGATTTTTTTTAGATAAAATTATATTTCAGCATAAGCAAAACAGCACTTTTTCTCCAGCCAAGTTTACACAAATGGGTTAGCAAAACCATTTGGCTGATATTCTTCAAGTAACTCAGCCTGAGGCTGACAGCCAGCATAGAAAATTTCAGCCCAAATTATTAAAATTTGGTATAGCTGTAAGAGCAGAAAAAATACATCTTATAATGGTAAACACCTGCCAGCCTTTATAGCAGGCAGTACTACCAGTTCAGCACACACATTATGTGAGTATATGTAGAAATCTGAGTACGCATATACAGAGATACATATGGATTGATATATGTATATATTCAGTGTTTGGTTTTCACAGTATTAATATAGGCTTATATATTATAGAGCAGTTTTCACTTTCGCTATAATTGTCCTGGGATAAAAAACACTGCTATTACATATGAGCACTTTCCACCTGCAAAACTAGTGAAAAATTGAGAATCATCTCAAACCAGGTTTTTGAGGTACCAAGATGCGAAGATTTGCACAAATGCAGAATTGAAGAAAGCTTAATGCAAGGTTTCTTTTTTCCACAACCAGTACTCATTTTATTTATTCATGAATGCTGTTAATAAAATATGTAGCAAGGGAGAAGAACATTCCATTAAGCAGCTTCTTACTGTAATTAAAAGATGAATTACCAACAACCACTGATTTATTTTTCTCGTTTGTAAGAGGATATCTTTAGGTAACTGTGTCCATGGTGAATGCTTGCTTTGAGCTGCCTGATGGCCAAGTGGTACCTTCTGGTAGGTGCGCAGCCTGCTATAGCCCCCGGAGTGCTATGCCCAAGAGTGCTACTAGTCATGTTCACACTGTACCTCCAGAGCTTCCCCAAGCTGTTGCCTCTGTCTTCTAGTTTTAGAGTATTGCGTATGTTGTTCCCACACTATTGAGCCTGTTGTGAAGACGGCAGACAAGTTCTTTACATCAACTTAGACTGCATTTAATGCCAAACCTAAGAGCACTTCTGCCTCTAGCAAATAGAATAGGAAACAATGATCGGTGAGTGTTATGCAGTTGTTATCCCTAGGAATCCAGGGGATGAAGAAGGGAAGAAAAGTAAAAGATTTTTAGCTCTGTCCTCTAATAGAAGAAGGATAAAAGACAAATACCTACAAAATCTTGATAGTGATATTGAGAACTGTCTCCAGCACAGTCATGGGTCCATACCAATTCAACCTGCCTTCTTTGCTCAAAACTGCCCAACCTTACTTATGTCTTCTCCATAACTTTTCCTCAGTCCTGCTACATTACCCTAAAAAGAATTTTTCCCCTCTACTTCAGGTCCCCTCATGAGCACATTCCCCTAATGGACACACTGATACTATCGAAGAAAAAAGTGACTATCCTTCCTCCAGCACTGTAGCTATTCTTTGAAAAGCCAAGAACTTAGAACTTCAGTTCTAATGCTGTTTTGTTTTGGTTTGTTTTAAATCTTTTACAGTCTTTGCTAAGCATTCGTGGTTCCCTGTTCTCACCAAGGCGCAACAGCAAAACAAGCATTTTCAGTTTCAGAGGTCGTGCAAAGGATATAGGATCTGAAAATGACTTTGCTGATGATGAGCACAGCACTCTTGAAGACAATGAGAGCAGAAGAGATTCTCTCTTTGTTCCAAATCGACACGGAGAACGACGCAACAGTAATATTAGTCAGGCGAGTGTGTCATCTAGAATGGTACCAGCCCTTCCCGTAAACGGGAAGATGCACAGCACTGTGGATTGCAATGGAGTAGTTTCCTTGGTTGGAGGACCTTCAACTCTAACTTCACCTACTGGTCAGCTTATACCAGAGGTAATTATAAGTAAACCAGTAATTATTACAGTTTGGTTCAGGCACGGAATTCTTTCTTACTGCTCACCTCTGCATGCTTTTTCATTTCTTAGAGCTGTCAAAAATAACTTGCAATATTTCTAAATAACAGAACATAAAGGAAAAAAAGTCCTCAGCCTCCTATGTCTGAGCCTCAATAAAGTATTATACTCTCCTTGCCTTCAGCAAGAGATCTGTACATACAAAGAAAAAAAATATAAATTGAATTTGACAATTTGTATATAGTTTCACCTCATCAACAAAGGTAGACCCCTTACTGAATTTATCTTGAAGAAATTTTTCTCATAACTTTCATGAGAAAAATATGTACAATTCCTATGTACCTTTGCAATTACATTACATTTCAGTCTCAGTTTCAGACTTCTGTAAGCTAAAATGTTCTTTCAAACTTTCAAAAAAGCAAGCTTTTTCATACATAGAATTTTAATATGGATTCAGTATGGTATTTTGGTGGCTATAATAGCACTGTATTTGACCTGAAAAATATTTTCATTATAAGTAAGTATTGAGATTTCATTACTATTATTACACATTCCTTTTTATTTTTGTTTCTCTCCTATCTTCATATAGACCTTCATACCAGAAATTCAATCAGATTACCTCAGAGGTTATGCGTATGTAGTTCTATTTCAGAAATACATTCACTTGAAAAAAGATATAGCTATTTAACTCAAGAGTCTTCTCTAAAGAAATAATACTAGTGAATGCTTGAAAATGTTTTTTCATCTTCATACTAAGATAACCTTGAAATCTCTTATGAGTTCTGCAGGCTTTTTTATTCTTTTTCTGGATGGGGACAGAATAATGAGAAAAAGAGTGAGTGGTTTCCATGAATCACAGAATCAGTGGTAGAGCAGGAACCAAAATTTAGGATCTTTTTAATCCCACTCCTGTGTTTAGATCCCTAGATCATACTCCTAGAAAGCAGAAAGAAGAAAAGCAAAGCAACTGTAAGGATACATGCTACAGAGTGGTGACACGTTAGGCAGTATTATTGCTTTGAAAAGATAATTAGAAGCCATACAAAACAGAGAGGACTTGCATATTCATTGCAAGAATATATCACAAATTCTGTATGAGCATTGTGGTGGCTGAGAATTAGGTAGAAGAAATATTAAATAAGATGTGAATTTTTTCTCATATAAAATTTTCCAACCACACTTATCAGGTTAGAAATGCAGTACATAGTATTAGAGAGATAATTAATTCCTAGAATTATACTCATGTTTCTTGTATCAAATTTACTTGCTTAAATAATAGTTCACTTCTTTCTGTACTCGCACTTTAATTACTTAACATTACTAGCTGCTGGAAATTAAGGTGACAGGTTTCAACTTAGATCATTTTTTCTTGAAAGAATAATAATAATCACTAGCAAAAAGATACCTAGCAAAAACTTTGTTCACTCAATCTTTTAAATGAGAACCACCTTTGGTCCCACATTGCCTTGGTATTATATCCCCCAGTTGATTATTTGTAGTACTGTACAAAATTCCCATTGAGTTCCTCAATAAAGAACAAAGAAATTCCTACAGGAACAGAAACCTTCAGTGTGTAAGAAAAGTCTAGTATGCTGCACAAAGCTAATTTTGTTTATAACTACAATATTTATACAGTAAATATTGTTAATTGGCTGTTGAAAAGGATGGTTTAATTCCTCAGTATTTCATTTTCAGGGCACCACTACGGAAACAGAAATAAGAAAAAGAAGACTCAGCTCTTATCAAATTTCCATGGAAATGCTGGAAGATTCTGCTGCAAGACAAAGAGCAATGAGTATAGCCAGCATACTTACAAATACAATGGAAGGTATTTAATGCATTTTATCTGACAAGCAGTTCAGTGAATTTCTGCTAACTACATGTACAGAGCAATTATTTACATAATTTCCTTTGTAAATGTAAAACTGGACATGTGAAATCTCTGAACATCAGATACAAAAGGCTTTTGAGCATTTCTAAGATCATCTACACATTCTAAATGCTTACTCATTATTTTTCATGACACCTTCCGAAATATTACTCTATTGAGTGGACTAACAGACACAAAATAATCATAGCTAGGGGATTGCCAGAGCCCCAAAAAGAGAATACAGGGATTTTTCTTCTATAAGACATCAACAGGAAAAATCAATTAAGATACACAAAAATTGCTATGATAAAAGCTATGGTGTGCTAGAACAGTCATTTCCCTTAGACTTAAAATCCAAGGATAGACAATAGGAAATTGGAATGAAGAAGATAGTTTTAAAGAAAACAACCAACTGTAATCAAGCCATGCCAATGTACATGAACTGCCTTCCTTAAGCATTTCTTAAACTTTCTTAGGTAAGTATATCAAAGATAAAAAGATATTATATTTACTGTATGAAGAAGCATACATTGTTGGAATTGTTTTCCTTATTTAATGGAAACTGAATACACTCACACTTCGTACATATGCCATTAAAATGTTTTTATAAGCTTAAAGGATCTATCTACTGGATGCTGGCACAGTGTGACAGCTGTTATAGTCAGACAAACCCTGAAGATGTCCTACAACACATATTCTAAAAAAATTACCAAGAAAATCTACAGTGTTCTTAAGATTACTTTAAGTCAGAATTGAAATATACTTTTTAAAGTGAGTTCTGAAGCCCTTTGCTCTCAGAAAAACAAATAGATCCCAAACTAATTGTAGTCAGAAATATAAGGCTTATATTGCCTATTTCATCTAAAAGTATTCACAAACCATTCTCACAAACATGTATCTTTCTGAGTATATCTTCCCACTTTAGTGCAAACGTGAACTGTTGGTACCTCTTGATTCTCGGTGTGCAATTCTTAGTTCTCTTCCCAGGTAGAGAGGATCTCTCCTTAGAGGATGCTGCTCTCTTCCTCCAGCTGAATAGTTTGTCCTTCCATTCTTCTGGCCAGAAAAAACATGTCAATGTAAACTATATCGCCCTGATAGTCACCTCCTATCCACATCTGGTTTCCATTACTTCAGAAGTTGCTAAGTGCAAGCAATGGAGTCTTCTGTGCCAACTCAGCGTCCAGTGTGAGTGGCCACTTTTGTCCAAGGGCAGTCCCATCCTAACTCTCAGCATTCTGAGTTACATGTTCAGAAATGTGATTATTCCACCCAATCCATATGTTCCTTCAGAAGCACTGTCTTTGTTATGGTTTATAAAGATTATAGAAGAATTTCGCTACTTACGATACCCTTTTCTGCCTGGAGGCTACAGTCTGATGTAATGGGAGACCTTGTTAGTTTCAATGAGTTTGAGAGCTGTGGCAACTGGCCTTTTAACTTCCTGTAATTCCACCCATATGGGACAATATTAGAGGCAAAAATCAATCCACTGGTCCTCAAAGTGTAGAGTTCAGCACTAAATCCTTGTTAGCAAATACTGTAAAACAGCATGTTTGCTATTTTAGCAAAATCGCCCATAAGTGTCATGATGATGGAGACCTCCCTGTGCTCTAAGGGATGCTTGAAAACTGGCAAATTTTAGATTTGGGTTGATGCCACTATGCAGAAATTTTATTGAAACTGTTGTGGCCATTTCTTACATATTTTGTAGTCTAAGTATTTCTCACTTAAGCAAATATCAATCTTCCTTTTGGGCTGTCCTCAAACATCCCATCACATTAGACATTTATCCTTGCTATTATTAACTCAGTAGAAGTTACTATTCTTCTGTAATTTTGATAATATTGATGGTGAAATGGAAGAAAAAATAGTTTGTAAAGATTCTAACTGAGAGCAGAGTTGTTCTGCTAATACTAACATTGTTGTTCTGTTTCTCAATTGATAGACACTGCAACCGTACAAGACATTTTCAAATAAAGTCAAATGATAATTTTTAAAATAAGAAAACAGGCATTCTGTATATTAAAAATATTGATTCAAATAAGCAATGATAGGTATGTGCACCGAGTCATTTATCTGTTATGATATTGTAGTGGTTCAGTGTAGTAGCAAAGATAATACTTTTAATAGCTCAAATCAAAATAGGTATGCATGTTACATACCTAACACAAAAATTTTGTATTTTATGAAGCTTATACAATTATATACATCAGCTTACTGATGATGGAGTCATGTTGACTTTTAATATCCAAAATTAAGACATCTGCTGTAAGCAAGTCAACTAACCTAAACTAAATGTCTAGACTCTCCTTGCTGTCATGGGAAAGAGACAAACACATTTCTCTCTTTAGATAGATGTCTGAGATGATTCACTCTTTAGAGATAACTTCACTGTCCACTGGTTGTAGAGGAGCTTAAATAAATTAGATGCTTAACTTTAAGATGGCTACACATAGGTGAGGGAAATCCCATGTTAGTGTGAGCTGTTTATTTGAATGATTTAATCTTTTTACATATTTTGAACAAGAAATTCCAGAGGATATAATTGGAATATTCATTATTTTTTAATTATTTTCTTTTTTTTTTTTTTCAGAGCTTGAAGAATCCAGACAGAAATGCCCACCATGCTGGTACAGATTTGCAAATACTTTCTTGATCTGGGATTGCTGGAGTCCATGGTTAAAAGTAAAACACGTCGTCAATTTAGTTGTCATGGATCCATTTGTTGATCTTGCTATAACTATTTGCATTGTTTTAAACACCATGTTTATGGCCATGGAACATTACCCAATGACAGAACAGTTTAGTAGTGTCCTTTCTGTGGGGAACCTGGTAAGTTGTTTTGTCATGCACTACTTGGTGTAAAAATACCCTTTTCTAAAAGAAGAAATGCATAAATGCATTGCATTGGTTTTAAATTTAGTCCAGGTTGTTTTTTCTAATCAGTTTAGAAACTGTATATATGTTTTTCATAGATAAAGTGATTTTTGCTGGAGCCTTTAACTTTCATAAATCTATTTTGTAACTACTCTAATGAAATAACTGAATATGTATGGAAGTGCAGTCTTCTCTGGATTGTCAGATTTCTTGAGGTCTACTTTGGGTTTTTTCTTTAAAATGTTAAGATAGATTATCTATTTTTTTACCATGGTACTGATATTCCATCACAGAAAATATTTTTCTTCTGTAAAAAATTGATGAAATATTCAGATGTCAGAATTTCTCTCTGAATTTTTTTCCGTTACACTACAGTGAAAGTACATTTCCAAGAAAGGCATATTTCTTGTTAGCAGTAAGCCCTTGCCCCTTTAGGTAACTAAAAAATACTTAATAAACTAGAAGATTATTATTTATTCTCTAACAAAAAGCACCTTGTATCTGTAAGTTTATTAGTGATGCCTTTCCCAATTTTAACCTGATCCAGAGATTTAGAGTTACATGTAATTCCTTTTCTGAGCAGATACCTACATGAGGCTTAACATTTAAATGTTCTTGTCTGTTTCTCTCCATTTGCTTCTAATGCTCAGAAAGCAGAAGACCGAACCATGCAAGTGTTTGTTTCAGAAGAAGATTCATACATTTTTAATTTTTTGCCAGCTCACATAACTACCAATAGTTTACACAGGAGAGGTCTGGATTGACTCACACAGCATGCAGTCCTGAAAATCAAAGCCAACCAAGTTTTCTGAACTAATCACTCAAAAAGATTAGTTTTGAAAAGTCTGCTAATATTTAAATGGAGCAGTAATAGATTTCTCAGTCAGAATATGTTTTAAAGTCTAAACATTTTCCTTATATGTACTGGTAATACATCCTTCTATGACTCTTTTTAAAAATAGAACTAAAATTGAACTTACTACCTATGTGTTCTTGTGTGCATTACAGTTTCCTTTCTCCTGGAAAAAGATCTAATTGCTAGCATATTCATCACAGATTACAGAATATTGTATTTTAAGATGTTGGTCTCTCATATTGTTAGAATTATTTCTCTCCAACCATTTATACTTACACGGTCTTCTGCCTTTTCCTGCCTCATATTTTTATTTTTTTTTACTCTAAGCTAGCAACAGTCATATTTTTAACTACCTTTGTAACAATCCAGTATCCTTAATTAGGACTATATATATGCAATGAATACTATTCCTGCT